TAAACTTTTGGCTATTGCCCACCAAATTGCTTATTGCCCTCCCAATAGCAAATTACAATTTACTGTACAAATTACTTGGTTTTTTTTTTTTTTGGGTCAAAACGGCAACATTTCATTCATCAAAACCAAGTTACACATTCTGGAGCAACTACTCCTCAATGTCTGCTTGAGCACTATCAAGCAACCAAACTGGAAAACAAGCTTTCCAATCAATAACAAACCCTAAATTTAGAGCAAATTTTGCTAACTTATGGCTAACAAAGTTGAACTCCCTTCAAACAAAGGAGAAACAACATTCCTCAAAGTTATGTTTTAGCAGCTTAATATCCTGCAAGATTGTGGATATAACCACATCATCCGTATCCTTCTGTATTCTATCTATTACAGCCTTACAATCTGATTCTACAATGATCCTTTCCCAGCCTTCCAAAGTAGTTTAACCATTGCAGTTCTGATTGCCAATGCCTCCTCGAGTATTGGTGCTGAATATGTAAAGGAAGGACAAGCCCATATAGCAACCAGCTTCCCCTTCCAATCTTTAGCAACAATACCCCAGCCAGCTTTATTTATCTGCTGATTCAAGACAACATCAGTATTCAACTTGATCCACCCTTTATCAGGAGCAACCCATCTTTCTTGCTACCCTACCCTTTGCCTTAACTCCCTCTCTTCCTCCATTCCCTCACCCTGGATCTCCTAGTACTCCAACCATTCTGTTAATGCCTTATGTACCACTACCCCTGGAGCCCTACCCTTTCTATTGAAGTTTATCTCATTCCTATCCTTCCATATTTGTCATAGCAGGTTGACTGTGAAAGTAATGTGCTCCTCCCCCTTCTCCTTAACTGTTGCCTCCACCAACTCAGACCATCACAACCAAAACTTCCCTCTCAAACTTTCCAAACCATCCCACTGAATTGGAGCCATTTTTCAAATAGCCTCTACATGATTACATAGAAACAACATATGTTCAGTCGACTCTGAACAACCTCACAGCATTTATACAGTGGCCCGCTTTGCATGCTCCCAGTCTTGATGTTTTTATTGACTGGCAGAATACCCTTCATGCATTTCCAGATAAAATGTTTCAGTTTATGCTTCATATTAAGTTGCCATAAGCTTTCCATCCCCTTGCATTTACCTCATTCCTACATCCAGATTCTTCATGACTATTTCTCACCCTCCTCCCTATCTTCCTCTCCTGAGCAGACCTGTAACCAGACTTGACAGTGTACTCCCCAGAAGCAGAATGTGCCCAGAAGAGTCTATCCTTGGTATCCTGCAGGCTCAAAGGAATCTGCAGAATCCTCTCCCTATCCTTCTTAACAAACACCTTTCCCAGCAACTCCTCATTCCAACTCCCATTTTTAATCAGCTAACTAACTCTACTCAATCCCAGACTTGAATCCTGTTGTGTGCTCACCTTCACTCCTGCCACCCCAGGGATCCATCTATCCTTCCAGATGTCTATAGTCTTCCCATCTCCCACTCTCTTCCTCACCCCTCTTCCATCAGTAACCTTGCACTCAAAATGCTTTTCCAACACCATGAATCAGTATGTTTCCCTTTCATCTTCCAGATTGAGGTGCCTTTGAAGTATTTGGCTTTAAGGAGCTTATACAAATTACCTTGTTGATTGCAATCCATGTGAGATTGAATGACGCCTTGTTTGGAAAGGGATTTTTTATCAAAAAAAATTTCTAATGCCGCCTTGTTTGGAAAAGGGATTTTTTATCAAAAGAATTTCTACGTTTTTCGTAAATACATTTTTCAATCACTTTTTTATTTCATATGTATCAAATTGTTACATTACACTTTCTATAAAAATTTCAAAAAATTGCAATCCAACGCAACCATTTGGCTAAATAAAGACAAGTGTGAAAAACCGCAAGTGATAGTATATGTCACCAAGTGCGTTTGATACCTTAGATTTCAAACGTTAACTGTTTCTCCATTTGTCAACTCGAAGAAGATTGCCATTTGGATTTTCTAAATAAAAAAATCTACCTTAAAAAAGAAACTAATTAATGCCACTATCCTCGGACAATAGATATGCTATTGCAACTTTCTAAGGTGAGATAAATGATGTGGACCTTCAATTGATTGGTTCCATAAAAATAGACAACAAGAACAAAATATACAAATGCAAAAAAAAAAAATCATGCCGACTTTCCTATTGACCGGTGCCATAAAAATATAAAATGAGAATAGAAAAGAAATTTGTTGGATACGTTTATGGCTGTATTTGGATTGGACCATCTTCTATGAACAATAAATAAATACAGTACCAGCGTATGCCGTAGGAGCATCCATCATTATATAACCGGAAGATTCGCACAAGAAATTCGTTTTATTCTTTCTCTTCTCTTCTTCTCCGAGGAAAATAATTAGTACTAGTAGCAATTAAATTTTTTTTATTTTTCTATGAAATTTCTGGTTATTGCTCTATCCACAATTCCTCCGCCTCTATATAAATCTCACTTGTCATCCCCCCGTCTCCTTGTGCCTATGTCCACAGATTTTCTCAGATCACCAACAAACATTCTCAAAGCCATCTTTTTTAACCCTCCCAAAACTCCTAAGATTCAACCTTTAGCCATGGCAGCCTGTATTCACACTTCAAGAGCAGAGAATTCTAGGACCAGCTCACTTTCTTGCGATCCAAACGGGTCCCAAATTGATGATCGTGTCTGCAATTACATAAAATACTGCAGACCTAATTTTTCTGACCTTGTTTCTTGTGTGCCCAATTCTGAGAATCATTCAAAAAGCATACGCATCCCCGAAGATTTGGGCAGCTTTGACCCTGTTCAAAATCAGGATGATTTATGGGTGAGGATGAAAAATGAGGCAAGATCAGATATTTTGCAGGAACCTATCTTGTCAAATTTCTATGTTAATTCTATATTGGCACATGATTCCTTGGAAAGTGCTTTAGCTAATCATCTTTCTGTTAAATTGAGCAATTCTGGGACTCTTCCTAGTGGTACGTTGTTTGATCTTTTCTTAGGTGTTATAGCTGAGGATAAGGAAATTATTAGAGCTGTCAAGGATGATTTGAGAGCAGTTAAGGAAAGAGACCCTGCTTGTATCAGTTATGTGCACTGTTTCTTGAATTTCAAAGGATTTTTAGCCTGCCAGGCTCATAGGGTGGCTCATAGTTTGTGGTCTAATGGGAGGAAAATATTGGCACTGTTGATACAAAACAGAGTATCTGAAGTTTTTGCAGTGGATATTCATCCTGGGGCAGAGATTGGAAGGGGAATATTGCTTGATCATGCTACCGGCGTTGTTATTGGAGAGACTGCGGTGATTGGAAATAATGTTTCAATCTTGCACAATGTGACCCTTGGGGGCACTGGCAAGGCATCTGGAGATAGGCACCCAAAACTTGGTGATGGGGTGTTAATTGGTGCTGGTACTTGTGTCTTGGGGAATGTTAGAATTGGTGACGGGGCTAAAATTGGCGCTGGTTCAGTTGTGCTCAAGGAGGTGCCTGCTAGGACTACTGCTGTTGGAAATCCAGCAAGGTTGGTTGGAGGAAAGGAGAACCCCATTAGGCTTGACAAGATGCCCAGTTTAACCATGGACCACACTTCACATATATCTGAGTGGTCTGATTATGTAATCTAGATTCTGGGTATATTTATATACATGTGTTTGTAGTTGGCAAGCAGGAGGATTTGAGTATTGAACTTGTCATCTTCATAGTTAAAGTCAAGATGGTTCTCTAGCGCCAACCCTTACTCTAGAATGTTTTTGACATTGTTCCCATCTAGGTCTTTGTTTGATTAGTCCCGGGGACCGTAACTCCTCTCTTGTCTTATCTTTCTAAGAGAGAACTTAAGTTCTCCAATTCATGTACCAAGGCCTGATTAGATTGCAAGTTTGGCCACGGACAGTATATCAGATATCTCTGATTGTCATGGATGAAATGGTATTTCAATTTTGCTGATCTCTACTTTCATTTCTCAACTAGTATTTTATTTATGTTTTTCATGTTCTTTACTGTAACTCGTGCTACACAAGAACGGCGATTCAAATTCTAAACATTTTGCACAATGCAACTCGAGTAAAATGATTTCATCAAAATGTGAGCGCATTTGAGTAGCATTTGGAACAAATTTTGTGTATATCCCTTCTGGTACTGGAAGAAGAATTTGCCTAGGGATACACAATTTGCTCTGATAAATATGGAGCTCCCGCTTGCAAAATTACTGTATCATTTCGATTGGACTTTACACAGAGAAAAGGAGCAGGAAGAGTTGGACATGACAGAAAGCCTCAGGGATCGCAGTAAGAAGAAAAGATCATCTTTATCTTGTTCCTCTTCTTGTAGTAGACTCAGCAAACTGATGTTTCATGTTTTTCATCTGCGGGTTGAATAATTGCTTGCAAGGAAATAAGATTATCTGGAATTAACCTTAACCTCTTAAAGTTGATGAATATTTCATTAGCTAATTACCTAAAGCTCTCATATAAGCACCAGTTGCACTCATGAATTGATATTTAGGCTAGTGGTCAAAAGATTTTAGTGCCTTGGATCCGTTTTTCAGTGCAGCAGCTAAGCACAGAAAAGTTGAATCCATAGACAAGTAATTTATAGCGGGTCGCTTAGATTAATGGCTTAAAACCAAATCGTATCAGACAAATCAAAATAAACAATTAGGTACGCGGATCATCTCCTGCGTAAGCTGCCTCATAAACTAAAGACAATTTTGTCTTCGTTCCCAGATAAACCGTGTATGCCTATAAGATATTACTTCCTCCAGTCACTTGAAAAAATAAGTAGTTGCAATCTTTCAATCTTTTCTTCCAGTTAATTGGATGCGAAGCATTCAAAAAACCATTTCTTCCAGTTTTTGATTCAACCCATTGTTAGCACTTTGTCGTTTCAAGTTTCAACCCTCATGGAGTTCATCACGGTCATTGCCTTCTTTATCTTTCTCTTCATGCTAATCAAGCTTCTGAAAAGATCGCCCATTAAATCAGATCTGAAGATGCCTCCAGGCCCAAAACCACTTCCAATTATTGGAAACATGCATCAGCTCTTTGGCTCTCTAGCACATCGAACCCTAAGAGATTTGGCCATTAAGTATGGGCCACTGATGCACCTAAAGCTAGGTGAAGTATCCACGCTGGTGGTAACTTCTCCAGAGGTTGCTGAAGAGTTCATGAAAACACATGATCTCCAATTTGTCAACAGGCCTCAACTGATAAGCGTGAGGATTTTCAATTACGATTGCACTAACATTGCATTTGCTCCATTTGGGGAATACTGGAGACAGCTGCGCAAAATCTGTGTCATGGAGCTCTTAAGCACGAAATGCGTCCTGAGTTTTCGGCCAATTAGAGAAGAGGAGGTCCTCAATTTCATCAGAGATATTTCCTCAAATCAGGGATCAACAGTTAATATTAGCAGAAAAATCTTCTCGTTTACGTATGGCCTTGTTGCAAGAGTTGCTTTCGGCAAGAAGAGCAAGTACCAAGAAGAATTCATCTCACTCATGGAGGTAGCTTTAAAGATGAATTCAGGTTTTAATGCAGCGGATGTGTATCCTTCAGTCAAAATCATTCAAGTGATAAGTGAAATGAGTCCTAAGTTGAATAAAATGCACAGGGCTCTTGACAAAATCCTTGAAAACATAGTTGATGACCATGCGCAGAAAAGTCGACAAATAGTTCCCACGGATGGAGCAACAAAGGAAGATCTGGTTGATGTCCTTATAAACGCCCAAAAATCCGGTGATTCTGGGATCCCCTTGACCAAGGACAATATAAAAGCAGTCATACTGGTGAGTGAGTGATATTTATCAATTTTCATTCAGAAAGAAAGTAATGAATTTTTGCAATTTGTTTACTGCGCTAGCTACCAGCTTGCTGAGAAGAACATGCTTGCCATTTTCATGTATAATTCAGATGAAAAGAAAAGTGTGATTCAGGTTAGTCGTCATGTGGTTAAAAAAATAAGCCTTTTAGTAGGGGAAATATAACTAATATCACCTAGAAGTGTTATAAAAATAATAGAATTGCAAGGCATTTGAGTTTTGGAAGAAGGATTAAAGACCAAGCTCAAAAGCTGGCATTGCAAATAAATGCCAATTTTGGTTCATCTGAATCTTGCATTTTAGCTTTCAAAGCATAATTGCTGTTGCCAAAACCCTGATCTTACGTCCTTTATGAATTGCACTAAGAGTTGATTGCCTTGTTTCAGGACATTTTCAGTGCTGGGAGTGAGACGTCATCTACAGCAGTGGAGTGGGCTATGTCGGAAATGTTAAAAAATCCAGGGGTGATGAAAAAGGCACAAGAAGAAGTGAGAAAAGCTTTTGATGGAAGCGGAAATGTCCGGGAGTCAGGACTTCATGAATTAAAGTACCTGCAAGCAGTGATCAAAGAAACTTTTAGACTACATCCCCCTGTTCCGCTGTTACTCCCAAGGGAAAGTAGCGAGCAATGCAACATTAATGGATTTGAAATACCTACAAAAACCAGAGTTATCATCAATGCTTGGGCAATTAGCAGGGATCCCAGGCACTGGACTGATGCTGAGAAATTCAAGCCTGAGAGGTTTCTCGATTCTACAATCGATTACCAGGGGAAAGATCTCAAATATATCCCATTTGGCGCTGGAAGTAGGGGTGTTTCGCGAATCGAGCCGCTCACGAGCCGATCGCGAGCGGCTTGAATACGAGCTCGACTCGAGCTCGTCAATATTGAGTTCGAGTCGAGCTCGAGCCAATTAAGTCGATCTCGAGCTCGAGCTCGAGCTCAAAAACATTAAGCGCTCGCGAGCTCAATTGTATATTTATTTTTTATTTTTTATTTTTTATTTAATAGTAAAATTACATATATATTCCTAATATTTTATTATTTATTAAAAAAATTAATATTTTATTCACTTTTAAAAAATAAATATTTATTTTTTATTTTTAAAAAATAAAATAATAATAATTATTTTTTTTATTTTTTAAGCTCGAGCTCAAGTTCGACTCGAATTTGACTCGAGCTCGAGCTCGAACTTGATATTTTGAGCTCGTCGAGCTCGAGCTCGAGATCGAACTTCACAAAATTAACTCAAGCTCGGCTCGTTTAGCCAAAACTCGACTCGAGCTCGACTCGTTTAGCCAAAGCTCGACTCGAGTTCGCCTCGTTTGCACCCCTAGCTGGAAGAAGGATATGTCCAGGCATAGCACTTGGTCTAGCATCAATGGAGCTGCTGCTTGCACAATTGCTCTATCATTTTGACTGGAAACTTCCAGGAAAACTGAAGAACGAGCAGCTAGACATGGCCGAGGCCTTTGGTTTGACTGTCAGGCGAAAAAATGATCTGCAATTGGTTGCAGTTCCCTACAAAACTGGTTCTTTATTGGCATAAGAACTTGGTCCATTTACCAGGCCAAGATTGTTTAATTTCAACAGATCAATCTCATGAGACACTGCCATTGATACAATTTTATGATTCAAATCCGTTATCCGTCTTTCAAAATTCGGACTTACAGACCTATTACAATTTACAAGTCGATTGAAGTTATATGCATTTTATTATCCTACTTGACAAAGTTCAGCAAACTTTGTATACTGGGATGGAAAAAAAAATTTCCTGCTGTCCAGGTTTTGCCATTTTGAATTGGGTAGAGGTTTTTCTCGCCCATGAATTACAGTTTTTCATCATCTGCTTCAGGATAGAAATTACATGGCTCTGCACAAGCCACAAGATCAATCACAAGTAGATAAGATCGTCTGTCCTAGGGCTGTAATCGAACCGAGCTCTAGGGCTGTAATCGAACCGAGTTGCTCGCGAGTTCGGTCAAAAGCTTGACTCGAACTCGGTCAAACCGAGTTCGAGTAGCTCGATAAGGCTGTCGAGTCGAGATCGAGCATCCAGAAGCGATGCTCGAAGGCTCGACGAGCCTTATCGAGCATTTTAATTTTAATTATTTAATATTTTTAATTTTAATTATTTAATATATTATTATTTTATTATTATAAAATTACCCTTATATCCAAAAGAATTGTCGAATTTACGAAATGTTTCAAGTCATATAAAAATTTTAAAAGGACAATAATATCATTTTGCTTAAAAAATATTAAGAAAATAGGCTCGAATGGACTCGAACCCATGCAAGTCGAGCTCGAGTACTGCGAGCAAGCTTCGAACTCGAGCTCGAGCTCCAATAATACTACTCGCTCGAGCTCAAGCTCGAGCACCCTAACTGTATGTCGAGTCGAGCTCAAGTATGGCGATACTCGAGCTCGACTTGACTCGATTACAACTCTAGTCTATCCCCACATTCAATACAGCCAATCCCACAAATGCACATCAAATAGATGGACAAGTGTCCCCAAGCCCTCTTGAAAAAGTATAAGCTGGTAAATGGATTGGATATCCATTGAGGTTCTGCCGCCCTGTGAGAATTTAGTAAAACGGTAAAACGACTGTTTTGCCTTCATTGGAATCAACCTTAATCATCTGGCGTGGAATTTTGCACTTGGGATCCTCGGTGACATATTTTGAATGACAATCCAATGCTACCTCTAATATTACGCCAAATATCCTGTTATTATTTGTATTTTAACTTTTAAATAATTCAAATTGATTTGATTTAATACAAATTTTCTCTATTCTCTGAACCTTTTAACCAAAATTAACCACCGGTCTAATTCATTTACCAAGTTTTCTCTACCCATCAGGACGATGAACCTCAAGATCTCTCAACACTACTCCCCATCCTTCCAATTCATTCCATTCAAAATTTAGTATCACATCATCTGATTCAACGAGGATCATGGCATCAATTTCGCGACCTTTAAATGAATCTTGGGATAGCATGCTTCCCGGTCCACCTTCTCGCAACAATGGCGGTGCCGCCGACCTATCTCTCGCCGGTCTCCTTGCTTACGCCGCCGGCAGCTCTGTATCCATTGTCGATACCCATTCTATGCAGTTAGTTGCCACAATTCCTCTCCCTCCTCCATCTACTGCTGCTACCTCTGCTACTCCTTCCCTCTCCCCTTTCGTCACCTCCGTCCGCTGGTCCCCGCAGCCTCTGCCCAGAAAGGGGAAGAATTGAAGATAGTAATAAAATATCTTTTTAATTCCCTTGCTGATGTTCGCTCCAGCAATCGTCCTTGACAGCAATATGGAGGAGAATCTCGTTATCCAAGAAAGGGGAAGAAAAGTCACCTCTTGGCATTAAAACGCAGGCAAAACTTTAGAGTGGTGATGCAAGGTCTTTTCTCAACTTTTAGCTTATTGGGCAACGGTGCCACAAGCTTCCAGGGACTTTGTCTCTTTTTGGCTTTGTTCAAAGCAATCACCGATGAAAGACTTTGGTGGCTCAATTGCTTAGGTTTTCTTTTTCTTTTTCCCCAGATCGTGAGTAGTTAACTCAAAAGTGATGGTATTTTAATTAGACCGCCGGTTAATTTTGGTTCAAAGTTTTAGAGGATAGAAAAAATTTGTATTAAATCAAATCAATTTGAATTATTAAAAAATTAAAATGTAAATAATAACAGGACACTTGACACAATATTAGAGGTGACATTGAATTGGCACTCAAGATATGTCACCGAGGATCCAAGCGGGAATTTTGCCCTTCGAAAGCGACTCTACAAAGTCAATATTGGCAACCATGATCTGCTCACTCTCTTGGGCCATTTGATTTCCTGCAAAATACAACAGATCAACTTTCTCCCCGGTCCTCATGGAGTTCCTCACCACCGTCTGCATATTCCTCCTCTTTTCGTTCATGCTAGTAAAGCTTCTCAATCCGTACAAAGGCAAGGAGTCTGCTCTGAAATTGCCTCCAGGGCCGAAGCCACTGCCGATTATAGGAAACTTGCACCATCTTGGTGGCTCACAAATGCATCATATCCTGAGAGACTTGGCCAACCAATATGGACCGCTGATGCACCTTAAGCTTGGTCAGGCTTCCACTCTCATCGTGTCTTCACCAGAAGTTGCCGAAGAGTTCATGAAAACACATGATATCATTTTTGCCAATAGGCCTCGGCTTCTATCGGGCAGGATACTCAATTATGATTGTACTGACATTGCCTTTTCTCCATTTGGTAATTACTGGAGACAGCTGCGTAGAATCTGCAAGACGGAACTTTTAAGTCCCCAGCGCGTTCAGACTTTCCGATCCATTAGAGAAGAGGAGGTAATGAATCTAATTGAATCAATTTCCTCCAACAGGGGTTCAACAATCAATCTTAGCAGCAAGATTTTATCTTTAACATATGGGATTACCGCACGGGCTGCCTTTGGCAAGAAGAGCAAATACCAAGAAGACTTCATCTCTCTCGTAAAGGAAGCTATAATAATCGCTGCAGGCTTCACCATAGCTGACATGTATCCTTCGGTCGAAATCATTCAAGTCATTAGTCAATTGAATCCCAAGCTCAGGAGGTTACACAAGAACATCGATGCAATACTTGAAAACATTGTCAACGACCATAAAGAGAAAAGCTTAAAGACAAGAGGTACAGATGAAAAAGCAGAAGAGGATCTAGTGGATGTTCTTCTTAACATCCAAAAATCTGGTGAATCTGGAACCTCACTAACCAATAGCAGCATCAAATCAGTCGTCATGGTGAGTGAAACATTTACCTATCAAATTGGCAATTATTTTCATTCTTTAAATTGCTTTACTGTAGTTCAAAGAGAGCTTTTCATCTTGAAAGCAAGGATAGATGATTCTACTTTACCACTTTCTGGTGTTGCATATTACACTAATGGAATTCAACTGAGCTTTGCTCTTCTTATCCAGCTCGAAAATGCAGTGAGATTAATCTAAAAACTATCCTCTGCCTTGTCCACCAATCTTCAGGACATTTTCAGTGCAGGAAGCGAGACATCATCCACAACCGTGGAATGGGTCATGTCCGAAATGTTGAAAAATCCAGACATCATGAAAAGGGCACAAGACGAGGTAAGAGAAGTTTATGACAGAAGAAGAAATGTTGATGAATCAAGGCTTCATGAACTAGAATACTTGCAAGCAGTGGTAAAAGAAACCCTGAGGCTACATCCCTCAGCACCACTGTTGCTTCCAAGGGAAAACAGTGAACAATGTGAAGTTAATGGTTATGTCATACCTGTAAATACAAGAGTTATTATCAACGCCTGGGCTCTTGGCAGGGATTCCAAATACTGGACTGAAGCTGAGAAATTCAAGCCGGAGAGATTCCTTGATTGTCCAAGTGATTATCATGGGAATGATTTCAAATACATGCCTTTTGGAGCTGGAAGAAGGATATGTCCAGGCATATCATTTGCTTTAGCTAGTATTGAACTACAACTTGCACAGCTACTGTATCATTTTGACTGGAAACTCCCAAATGAACAGAAGCCAGAGCAACTGGACATGAGTGAGGGCTTTGCTTTGACAGTGAGGAGGAAAAATGACCTGTATTTGATTCCAATTCCCAGTAGCTGTTCCTTTCTGGAATAATTCTAAATGTGGTTTTGGGGCTGTTACGGAGCTTTGCAGTTTGGCATGTACTATTATTTTATTTGATCTGATGTATGCTATTATTACTTTGTTGTACGAGTAAATTTTAAATATATAAGTAGAACAATTACTTCCCACCAAAAGAGTAGACAGTAATTTACTATACTAGAATATGAAAAAAAAAAAAAAAAAAAAACTGTTTGCTAGTACCTTGCTACTAGTATGTAACTTTTGTCGAGGAATTTTTTTTTTTTTTGTCTAACTTCTAGTCTTAGTTCTACTCTAACTTATACTAAGAGGTTACCCAACAGGGTCACGAAAAATCGATGAAAACTAAATTATCATCAAATTACGCATCCATATGAATATTAAAGAAGTCACATAAAATGACAACGTTTTGAGGAATTATAAGGGCAAGGAGGAGACCTGCAGAATCCCAGCTAATAAGCACGAGCCCAACTGGAAATCATGGGAGGGTCTTCGTTTGGAGGGCAAAACGAAGGTGGGCCTGAGCTTCTAAATACCCCTACTGCAACAACGAATCTCAGCCCATTTTTCTTTTAATGGGAGAGGTCTGCGGTCCGCCTATCGACTATTTGTAGAAAAGGACAAAGATACGAAAATGCAAGTTGCAGGGGCATTTGGCGTCATTTCGCTCCAAAGTCCGCGCCACCCAGTTGCCTGTACTGTAGGAAAAAAAAAAAAAAATCCTTCCATGTTTGGTTGAAAAGAAGAACAAAACCACCACCACCACCACCACCGCGATGACCTCCCCAGCTGTTCGATTTCACCGCTTCAAACTCCGCAAAAAACCCTAGCTCCTCTTCTTCCTCCTTTAAATTAGCTTCATTTTTTTCCTTCTTTTGGAATTAATATTTGTATTTTACAAACAAACAGAAAAGGGAAAAAAAATGGATGC